TTTTTTTCGTGGTTTTTGTATTAGACGCGTCGTCCATTTATTTGTAAGTCAATGGTAGAAAACCAAAATTTAGCAAGTTCTATGTAGTACTTTAATAGGAATATCTCCATATAAAAATCATGTAAACAGTTAGATATTTAATTCCAAAAGAATCCGTCTGAAAAATTTCCGCCTCGCCTTATGTCTCAGGGTAACGGATGTAGTTGTAGTGTCCTCCAGATCTTTGCGATTTAAAGCTCTGTGTTACAGTGTAACCCGTTCATCGCATCACTTAGTGTTATAAAAAAATGTTAGAAAAGGTATTATTGAAATTATAATTTCTTTGTTTCTCACTGCAATCAGTTGCCGCCGTAAGCCGGTTGATAATTATCTTATTAAGTCTGTGGATCGCAAGCGATAAAGAAAGTGTAAATCCTTACTTGAAATCGATACCGAAATATGAATAATGGCGAGATTGTGCGCATTGAAAACAACGGATTACCACGATAAGTCAATCAAATGATATTTAAGCTTTATATGCAATTAACGTTTCTAAAAATAAAATTATGATATTCATATTTGACTTTAAAAATTATTTATATATGAATTATTAATAATAAATGTCTTATGTATTCAAACCGACGTCCTCTAGCAAACCGTGCCCGTGTCAGATGTTATGCCAGGTAAGCCACGGAACGAACCAACGGACCTTACGAATCTTTCTATGTGCTTGTTTCAGGTCTTTGTGTTTGGTTTTTAATGACTTTCTATGCGCCATCTGTGAGAAATTTATTTCTTCACTCAGAGAGATACCTTTACGTCTACCATCGCTGACTAGAGATCTCGCTTCAAAAATTGTAATTTTTAAGTTTTTATTGAAACTCGTTTTACTACCAAAATATTAATTTGTTTCACCTCACTTGCTCGGAAAGGCTTTCTTTGCACGCTAGCGTGGAAAAGGTATTTGAAATTGGACTGTGGTGCATTATGAATTATTTCTTTCGGTGAAAAACATAAAAGATAATGGACACGTACAACTTCGCGATTTGTCGTACATTACTTATGATAACTAATTGTGTTTATAAAATTATTTTTATTCGTCAAAGAAATAAAATAATTTCAATAACCACCTAATTACACAAAATTATAAGTAGGAATAAAAATTGATGAGATGCAAATTCAGAACACATTCGAAGGTAAACTTTTTCTTTGGTTAATTCTCGATTTACTAATTCACGAATTTTTCTAAGTACAATCAGATCCAAGCTAGAAGCTGTGGTCCTCGAGATTCAAAAATGGTGCCGCCGGAATAAGCTTATTCCAGCGTGGACAGTGAAACACCTTAATAACTTCAAAACGGCATAATGAGTAAATCTAGTTTTTTACTACTAGAATGACTAAATAACGATTTCTTTTAGTGTAGTCAGATCTAAGCTAGGTATTGTGGTTCTCGAGGTTGAGAAATGTTGCCGCCGAAATAAACTTATTCCAAGGGGACAGTAACACCTTAATAACTTCAAAACGACGTAACAACTAAATCTAGTTTTTTACGACTAGAAATGACTAATTCACGACTTTTTTAGTGTAATTAGATCTAAGCTAGGTATTGTGGTTTTCGAGATTGAGAATAGGTGTCGCTGGAGTAAACTTATTCCAGGCTGGACAGCAAAACACCCTTATAACTTTTGAACAGCGGACAGACCGTCTAAATAGCGACTTTTTTCGATCTAGTCAAATTTCAAAAACTCTTTCTTTACTTTGGAAATTACTATGCATATTTTAATGAAATAAGTATAGGTATTATGATGTTAGTAGACTACATCATCGAAAGCGCCGCCGTCGACTCGCCATTGAAGAGCAGAATACCAAAAAATTGCAATTACTGTTAAATAGCTCGATGACGTGTTTGTCAGCATGTTTTGCGGACGTATTGCTAAATGTCCTTTTTATGAGTTGCCCTGTTATACATATAGTATTCAGTACATTATTAGGAAAAAGAAAAATTCACCAAGACCAAGCTGTAAAGAAAGAATGAGAAAAACGACCTGTATAAGAGAACCTATAGTCCATTTGTTTATGTACTTAGGTAAACAATCTTGACATGTCTGTTTAATGAAATATATATATACATTTATTAAATAATTTTTACTTACCTTCAAATACAAAATACAAATTTTTAGCTTCTTCTATTTTTATACCTATTGATTTACAAAGCATATGTCTCAATAAAATACTGTCAAGATTGCTTACATTTAGTTAAGTCCCTAAACTTAAGCGCGTAAAGCTAACAAAAAATACAGTATAAGCTACTCGATGATAGATGGCGTTAGTTTAAGAAAAAGAGCTTTTTAACCATGAAGTATGTTTATTCATTTGTAACATGTTTATTTATTTATTTATTAAGGTAACAATTATATCCGAGAACAGTGTATATAGTACATTGAAACATATAACATAATGAATGAATAAATTATGAATAATTACATTGATTATCTACATTATATACTACCAAAATTTACATACAGACCTAATAATAATGTGTGAAAGTAATTTGCAAACGTAATTATCAATATCATATAGACACTTCGATACCTCCGATATAATACTCCCCGAATTCTGTGAAAAAAAGAACCGAATAACAAAATTGGAAAAAAAACAAAAATCGGTTCGTTTTTTGTGTAAAATAATGTAATAAATAACGAAAATTATTAAAGCACTAGTGAGGGATTATGATATATATGATTATATATGATTTTTTTATTATTATGATTTTATTATATGATTTTTTGTCTTAAGCAAACCGTCCAATATTACACAAAAAGGCAGACGCCGGTGTACGCCTGTTTTCTTGATCTCTCAAAGGCATTTGACCTCGTGGTTTATGATGTTCTTTGGGGTAAGCTCGAGAAAGCGGGCGTACCTCGGAATCTGATAGAAATTTTGAAATGTTGGTACATGAACCAACAAAATAATGTGAGATGGGGAAGAGCTCTCTCGGATGCGTACAGATTGAAGTGCGGTGTAAGGCAGGGTGGTTTGACTTCGCCGAAACTCTTCAATCTGTACGTGAACGAGCTGGTTGTTGCGCTCAGCAGTAAACCAGTCGGGTGTCATGTCGACGGCATATGCGTGAATAACATAAGCTATGCCGACGATATGGTGCTCCTGGGTCCAACGGCGGGCTCAATTGCGGAGTTGCTTCGAACTTGTGAAAAGTACCTACACAAGTTCTCACGGCCTTGTGTACAACTGTGCCAAGAGCGAGTTCTTGATCTTTGGGGTCCCTGGTAAGGGAATGTCCTACGAACCAAAGATAAGTCTGAACGGGTTGCCCCTGAAAAGGGTAGATAAATTTAAATATCTAGGACATTACCTGACGGGTGATCTCAAAGATCAAATTGATATTGATCGAGAACGTAGGGCGTTGGCTGCCAGATGTAACATGTTGGCACACAGATTTGCCCGTTGTAGTGAGGACGCCAAAATTACATTATTCAAGGCTTACTGTCAATCCTTCTACACGGGTGGTCTGTGGGTGAACTATACGCAGAAGGCACTCAGCGCCCTGCGTGTTCAATATAATAACGGTTTCAGAATGCTGATGGGACTACCACGGCATTGTAGCGCATCCTCGATGTTTGCTCTAGCGGGAGTAGATTACTTTTTTGCTGTGATGCGAAACAAAAAGGCGTCACTACTCTCGAGGCTGCGTTCTGGTCCTAACAGCATTCTGAAAATGTTCGCGGCTAAGCTTGATGCGCCGATGCTTCAACATTTTATCCAGGTTCTGGTGAGATC